GTGAGGTATCTTTGTGGTATTGCCACTACATGTTTTAGAGAGTTAATTTGTAAACTTAATATGTACTTGTATTTCTAGACTTAAGATGAACTTAAATTGATATAAGGCCTGTCTCAACTCCCAGGGTTCACGAAGCGCGATGTATTACAACCAAACCTGGTACAGTAACAAACTATTTTTTTTTTCGTAATTTCCTCTCTGTTGAGTTACCGTATTGGTAATTAATTGGTTTTAGGTAGCCCTTATACTGAAACGGCGGAGTGTACTGTGTATTGTTGTCAACCAGTGAACGATATTTTTGGTGGCATCAATTTGCAGTTATTAGATTTAAAATTATGTGTAACCATTAGCATGGGTCACGAGGTGACTGCGTGCAACCACTTTACGCTGAAAGTAAAATGTGGTAGGAACATAAGTACACATAACCCTACATAAGTACAGTTTTACAATAACCCTATTAGTGCAGTTGATTGGTTCCGCCATTGTTAACCTGTCAAAACTGCTAACCCTCATTTAATTAGCTGGCGCGGCGCTGGTGCTACGCGGCGCAAATACTACTCGGCGCAAATACTACTCAACCCTTCTGTACAGGCCTAGCAACTGTATTTATTTAGGATAGGATACTGTTATCAACATTTGAAAATACTGAATACCTGCTTCGGAAATGCAGTTTCTGTACTTTTCGATAGTGAAGATTTTCTTTTGCTGTTATTCTATTTGCTACAAAACTAATAGAAATAAGACCCAACAAAAGAAATAATTTGCTTGTATAATGCCGACAGTAATTAGTAATGCGAATCTGTGTACTGCGTTATTAATCAATGCTTAATGGTATTCATCGGACTGCCCTTTTCTTTTGTACTGTCTTTTGTAATTACAAGCAGTTACCCCAGAAACTGTACCTAGGCCATCTGCGCATAGCGCATGTGCAAGCTGAGGTGCCCGTGGGTACACAATGTCGAGTCGCATACGCTACGATTCTTTGTTTACATCTACGTTGTTATCATTCTCGTAACCATCATTGCAACCCATAAGACTAATGTTAAACATTGCAAATTTTATGTCAGTCTAAAAGTGTACAGGTATTACCAAATTGAAATTTGTTTGTTTAGTAACAACAAAAATATTTGCCGAAATACCCCTGGTAAGTTTGGATTCAATATGTTCAGCCATTATTGAGTTAATTGATTACATAGTTTGCATACGGTCCGATCTCAAAGAGCTTCGCTCGCTCCGCTCAATTAGTCTATGCTTTTTGCAAAATTCACTTTTCCGAGGAGTGGAAAATGATGCGTTACTGTCCCCCACTGTACCCAAACATCAGTAGGAAACCTAATCATCAGTCGTTTGCACTTAAAATAGCATTTTAAATCCATTAAACTTCAATTTACCAGACTTTTAGCATGACTATGATTTTTTCACAATGATGCATGAATTTCAGCATGCAATCTGACGGTAATTAAAGGTTATTATATATAATTTTCAAGCTTATTTTATGGGTAAGTTTTTGATAATACTTGATACCCGCAGCAACCAACTCTGCAACCTAGAAATAAGGATTTTAATATTTACTAAGTTTTTGTCTTCGTTAAAAATTTTAACTTTTACCACGAAACTTAAGTAGAATCTCAATCAACATCCCAATGTTTATGTATTATTCTTATTTTACATTTTGTGTGGATAAAAAAATGAGCGTTATTTTAACAATACATGTGATTCTTACATTGTATATAAGTTTTTTCATAAAAACTACCATTATTTTTTTCAAATCTTTATTTAAATTTTATCCCCTTTACTGTTTGAATTGGGAACCTCAAATAGGCATCATTCATTCACCATCATCATGTAGTTTGATGGATAATTTGTATTTAAAACTTATGACCCCCCCGTGCTCTGTAGTAACCACTGTCGAACTTAAATTGAACAAGTGATTTCCACAACTCATAAAAACCTACACACAACAACAGAAATCAAAATCATTAATCCATCAGCGAAACAGGATCAGTTGCGAAGCATAATTTACAAATCAAAATTGGATCCGAGGAAAGCATCATTCGTGATCGGCAAGGTTATGTGGGCAGTGAGTGGGGTTAATGGAACACGTGTGGGGACTGAAAGTTCAATCTTGAGGTAGAAAGTTGCATTTTGTTATCCAAGAGTCGATTGATGATGTCATCATCTTATAGGAAGAGGATCGTGTGATGTTGATGTGAGTTGTAAATGGATTCCAGATTGCAACAAATGGGATTGCCATCATAGACATTCCACCAGTTCACAATCTCGTAGCTTTGCTAACCAGTTAGACTAGGACTATTGGCAAGAACTGCAACTGCACCTGTGGATGTTTTGTTTATGGTCCTATCCACAAATTAATGAAGCTTTGAGAGAGTCTTTCAGTCATTAGGAAGTGCGGGACTTTGTCAGTATAGACAATTTATTGGAACTATCCATAGTCCATTTCCTCTTTTAGAGTCATATGTTTCCATAAACTGTTAGGTATTGAACAATTTAAAATAATATTTAATACTATCTCAAACTCTGTGGTCGCCCTTTATTAGGCCATCTAGTAAAGTATAAAAGAACTGTTGCATGTTGTAAAATGATCACACTTACTTTGTGGTTGGTTAGAGGTAAATTAAATCTGGGCCAGTATCACTCTTTAATCGGTAAAAGGCATGAAATGACTCGGAGGAAAAAAAAAACTCTAAAGGAAAACAAGTATGACTCCTTCAAACCGGAGAAACATGAAACTGGCCGAAAAGTTGCCCGAAACGACCCACTTTCTACATAATTGTAACGTGCCCCGCCTGCAGCAGTTAATGCATTAAGGGTCGTCGTTATTTAGTTTGACTTTCAATTTAATCCAGATAATCATTATCACGTTCTTATAAAAAAAAAACTTATGACAACTCGTTTTTATAACAAAATCTAGTTTTCGAACTTTTCGAACTGCTATAGGGGATTGGGTTTCGTAAAACAAAAAAACAAACTGTGATTTCTCATGTAAACTCACAATTTATAATTTGTTATTGTATTGAACTCGCTGTTACCCACGGGCTTCACCCCGTTCGACTTCATAAGTATTATAAAACTATTGATTGGTCAAGTTAACCTGAAATTAACAAAATACAGTAAAACAAACAAATAATCACATCTGTTTTTAATAAGGTAATACATTGAAAGAATAACAAACAAATAAGTACAAACAGCTAAGGTATTTTTAACATCAGGTATATGGAAAGTTCCCTTTGGAAAGGAATTACGACCTTAAAGGACAATTTATGAAATAATGGATAGTTTTGCGCAAGGGTTCTCGTCATGACGAACATTTTAAGTATATGGTTTATGGGGGTGTGACTTGTAGTTTTCTCAAAAGTTCATGGGTACCTACTTTTGGCTTTATATATATAGATATCAACTACTGGTATATTGTTGTCAATCAGCTGTGTTTAGGCTTTTTCCTATTTCATCAAATAAAACTTGACTAGTGTACATGTTGCTCTAATTCGAGCAATTGCAGAGTACCGGTATTACAGGAGTTATTTTAAAACGAATAACAGTCATACTTACCATTAATTTAAAAGAGTCAACTCAAGATTACCGGTGTGTAGCTCAGACCATTTTTGTCTTCGTTATTGATAAACCTTAAGCATTCCGGCCGGTTTTCTCCTTCTCAAAATGCCTCGCTGTACAGGCAACACAGGTCATTGATAGAGGGCCAATTGAGCACGAAAAGTCGTTTTGGGGTAGTGTTAGGGCGCATTTGTAACCTAATAGTTGAGATTGTCCAGGGTCAGGTGCTGACTGTGATGAGTTAAGCCTATTACGCGCCACTGTTCTGTGTAGCTGCCGTTGTTATCACGATTACGCCTCCTGTCTATGTTTCGTTGTCGTCACGTCGGAGGCATTTAAAAGAAGAAAAAAAAACAACAAATAAACAAATTATAGCTACACAAAACAACGATAAATGCACAAATTTAAGTTACAATCATACTAACACGATCCTTCATAGCGACACAAAACAACGACAAATACACAACTTTAAGATACAACCATATTAACACGATCCGTCTTGGGGGTTATGTTTACACAAACTCAAATAGTAAATAAATGTACTTAATGCGTTTAATTGAATTGAAAAATAACAGCAATTAAATTATACAGCTGATCAAAATGTAAACAATTATGTTCTCCATAAGGATTACATGGGAACTTTCAAAGCCACTGGGACAGAGCCCAAGGGACTTTTTCAAAAATGTAAGGCCAGTTTGCAAATCTACGCGACACGCTCTTTCCAATGAGACGTCAATGGATAAAATCTGGTAAGGAGCGTAGTTCTCCATAAGGATTACATGGGAACTTTCAAAGCCACTGGGACAGAGCCCAAGGGACTTTTTCAAAAATGTAAGGCCAGTTTGCAAATCTACGCGACACGCTCTTTCCAATGAGACGTCAATGGATAAAATCGGTTAAGAAATGGCGGAGGAGTTCAACCGACAAAGTTTCATGTAGGCCTAGCGTATTAATTATATAGATGAAATTTCCTTCAAAACAAGGCATTCAAGTCAAGTGTGGCTCTAATGGTTTTCGTACAGCAAAGCTATTAAATCAGGCCAAGACTTTGTGGACACCCGGTATATATATTTATTTAGATATGTAGGAAATAAACGCTATCAGCAATCTGACACATACTTTCTCCCATTAGCTTTTCAACAACCCCTATCACGGGTAAGCGTGGGAGTAACCATTTGATATTTTATGGGCAAAATCACTAAATTTGCAATAACTTTTGAGCCGTAATTTTACATCAGTAGGCATTTTGTTTAGAGTAAAAAGGGCATACTAAATTTTAATCAAAATCGGTCCAGCCATTTTTTAAAATCCGATTTTGTGTCATTTTATGAAAAATCATATGAGTTGCAATAACCTTTGAAATGTTAAATACCGTAGTCATTAAGGTTTCTAAAAGTGTTGATCGTTGGTTAGTAAATGTGACTTACCGGTGTGAGCGTGGTAGAAGTGAGTTCCCGCGTTGCCAGCGACCCACTGATACCTGAAGGTGTTGCCGGCTAGGGTGGGACACTGAGTGACGAAGGGAACACCGTCGTAGTACTGCGTTCCTTTCTGGTGGATACCGTGCCAGTGGATGGTCACTTCCAGACCTTCCATCTGGTTGTGGACGTCGATGACTACCTTGTCTCCCTCACACACCTATCACACATGAGTCGACAATTACAATAGACAAATCTTATATTATTCTTACAGGATCAACATAAGACTTGATTGAACTTAAAAATGTTAACATCATCTCAAAAAATAGCGTGACCTCACAGTTATGAATGAAAGAATGATTTATTCCGTTAAATTTGCTACAAAGTACAATTTAAAATTTTTTTGTAAATAATCAAGAACAGAAAAAAATAACAATGTTGTGAACTTAATGTTGAATTAAACAAAACTAGCAAAAAGAAACATAATAACTTATAATTTTGTAGCTAGTTATAATTAATTGGTCTTGTGGAATCAGCAGACATAGACGAACTCTGCCTGTGCGTCTGCTGGGTTGCATATAGACTTTATACGGCATTACTCTTTGTAGTTAAGAGGTCCTGTTTCAATACTATATTTCTCTTAAACTTGAATACTAGTTTTACTTGAACATTTTAAAGTAAAAAATCTGTTTGTTTTGATTACTAGTGTATTCGCAAAGTATTTAGGAATTTGAATATTAAGGTGCTAATTAATTTTATTTTATTGCATTTTATGGTAAGGTAACCATGGACGTCCATCCATATGGGCAAGAGAGGGCTCGAGCCCCTTCCCCCTTTGCGACCCTACCAGGGAAACCATACAGACTGATAATTCCGGGAAGTTTGCGTAAATTCATTAAATCAGGAACTATGAGGGAATTTTGAACTCGCACTGGAAACCCCTGTTTTAGTCTGTAGTCACGGGGAATTGCGATCGTCACCAGTGAGGACATGGCGAAACCGTTAACACATACCGAAGCCGCGGCAAAATCAAGAACATGTCCTGCGGTCACGGTAGATCAAAAACGTATTCTGTGGTCACGGTAGGATCGAACACTTCTTTTGCGGTAAATTCGTCAATTTTCGATCGCGCATCTTCGTAAACGCTCTCCGCGGTTGCGGTAATTTGCGCTCGGTTCGGCTCGACTCGCAAGCTGGGCCCGACAATAATTTTTGCCTGTCTCGTGCCAACCGTTGGTCCGACCGGACACAAACATATGGAGTTCCCGGACCCACACACCACTATTATAAGGTACACTTGGGTACTAGAAATGAAAACCAGGAAAACTTAGTGAAAAAAATTGTGAATTTTGTCTAGGAGTTCTGCGTAAAACAACCGATTTTCCTTTCAGATTAATGAGTAGTAAGTACAAAAAAAATAACAACAACATATAAATTGACAAAGCAAATTTAGGTTTAAAAAAGTGTAAAAGCAATCATTTTAGATCTAAATTTTAATAGTTTTCTCAAGTACTCCTTAGACCACCCTTTTTACTGGGGTTCGTGCCCCATCCCCCGCCCCCTATCGAAAAGTCAGATGGAAGCCCATGATGGTAACAAATTGTGGGTCAAGTGTGGGGACGGACAGTTGTACTGCACCTGTATGCTAGGGCCGGGCAACATTCTGTTGATGCTGAGGATTCCTCTCTCTACTCCATCAGCTAACACACATTGACAGTGAGACCAGACGGTGTTGGTGGCGTTAGGAGTGCATACTTGACAAGCTCTGTAAAACAAACATGACAGTGATACCAGACGTAGGAGTGCATACTTGACAAGCTCTGTAAGACAAACATGACAGTGATACCAGACATAGGAGTGCATACTTGACCAGCTCTGTAAGACAAACATGACAGTGATACCAGACGTAGGAGTGCATACTTGACCAGCTCTGTAAGACAAACATGACAGTGATACCAGACGTAGGAGTGCATACTTGACCAGCTCTGTAAGACAAACATAACAGTGATACCAGACGTAGGAGTGCATACTTGACCAGCTCTGTAAGACAAACATGACAGTGATACCAGACGTAGGAGTGCATACTTGACCAGCTCTGTAAGACAAACATGACAGTGATACCAGACGTAGGAGTGCATACTTGACCAGCTCTGTAAGACAAACATGACAGTGATACCAGACGTAGGAGTGCATACTTGACCAGCTCTGTAAGACAAACATAACAGTGATACCAGACGTAGGAGTGCATACTTGACCAGCTCTGTAAGACAAACATAACAGTGATACCAGACGTAGGAGTGCATACTTGACAAGCTCTGTAAAACAAACATAACAGTGATACCAGACGTAGGAGTGCATACTTGACAAGCTCTTTAAAACAAACATAACAGTGATACCAGACGTAGGAGTGCATACTTGACCAGCTCTGTAAAACAAACATAACAGTGATACCAGACGTAGGAGTGCATACTTGACAAGCTCTGTAAAACAAACATGACAGTGATACCAGACGTAGGAGTGCATACTTGACAAGCTCTGTAAGACAAACATGACAGTGATACCAGACGTAGGAGTGCATACTTGACAAGCTCTGTAAGACAAACATGACAGTGATACCAGACGTAGGAGTGCATACTTGACCAGCTCTGTAAGACAAACATAACAGTGATACCAGACGTAGGAGTGCATACTTGACAAGCTCTGTAAGACAAACATAACAGTGATACCAGACGTAGGAGTGCATACTTGACAAGCTCTGTAAAACAAACATGACAGTGATACCAGACGTAGGAGTGCATACTTGACAAGCTCTGTAAGACAAACATAACAGTGATACCAGACGTAGGAGTGCATACTTGACCAGCTCTGTAAGACAAACATAACAGTGATACCAGACGTAGGAGTGCATACTTGACAAGCTCTGTAAAACAAACATAACAGTGATACCAGACGTAGGAGTGCATACTTGACAAGCTCTTTAAAACAAACATAACATACGTTATCAGTTTACAAGAGAGTTCATGATATCCTTTTGTTTCGACTGAGAAAAATCTAAAATACTTAGCAAACCGAATCTTAGTAGGAAACTGCTGATACCTGGGCTAACATGATGCCAACAAACAACAAGTCACAAAGGCCAGACTTAACGAACCGACTAGGCCTGTATTTAGCAACGACGGCCAATTGCCCATACGATTGGTTTTGGCAATGCGACCTTGATATCACTTTCACTATTAAACATACAGTTGAGACATAACCAACCGTTATTACATCTCGTGTTTCACACGGAGTAATTGTACTATCGTGCAGTAGTATAATGGTGTACTGTATATAGTGGTAGTGGTAGCGGCCGGTATGGTGCCGTGCTGATACAGATGGTATGCGGTTCTAGCTCACCGGTCGACTTAAGTAACCTCCTAGTGCCTACCTACTGTTTATATCAGTATTACGGCATTCTTTGTACAAGGTGAAAGAGTGGAGAAATTAGATAACTGACATATATGTGCGGCCCCTAGATACGTTCCTAGGCACTAAATGTTTGCCTTGATTGCAACTCACTAGTGAAGATGCACATTAAGCTTTGGTTGATGTGCCGGGACCCTGCCTGTGACCTTTGTAGTAAAGTTGTTGATCGGCCTCTATTAGCTTTTCAGCAGTAGGCCTACAAGTTAAACACCCAGAATAAAAAAAATACTCGAAAATAACTGTAACACTATGAGAAGTGTTTAACTTATATATGTTCCATATTATGGAAAACATAATGCTAAGGTACAAAATGGTCCTTATTTTGAAAGTAAAATTTACCAAAGAAAACTTTTATTTGATGAAAAGGCAGTCGTGCTGTTTAAGTTTTCTTTTATAATACTTTATTTTGGAAACTGAACTTTTTATAATGTAAGCATTTGAGGAAATTCTGTAGCAAAGAACACGATTCCCCCTCATATTTCACAATATTCCCCATCGGATGACTACTAATGTTCTGACATGAGTCCACAGCACAGCAGACAAGTATAATAATAACACGGACTCTAAGCGCTCTTTAGGCTAAGTGTTCACCGCAGTCTAATTACAAAGGTTTCAATTTCGTGGGTCTTAAGCAATGCCACGGGCGTGGAGCAATTGCGTCTCAGAGGAGCGTGCGCAATCGATCTGCTATGCGCAGCGCATTCTACTACAACGCACACTTCAGTCGGGGCTAGCCCTGCCCTCGATACAACACAGTCGGGACTAGCGACCAGCCCTGTCCCCGCTACATATACTACACTACAGTCAGGGCTAGCCCTGCCCTCGCTACATATACTACACTACAGTCAGGGCTAGCCCTGCCCTCGCTACAACACAGTCGGGGCTAGCGGCCAGCCCTATCCCCGCTACATATACTACACAACAGTCGGGGCTAGCCCTGCCCTCGCTACAACACAGTAGGGGCTAGCGGTCAGCCCTGTCCCCGCTACAAATACTACAATACAGTCGGGGCTAGCCCTGCCCTCGCTACAACACAGTCGGGGCTAGCGGCCAGCCCTGTCCCCGCTACATATACTACATTACAGTCGGGGCTAACCCTGCCCTCGCTACAACACAGTCGGGGCTAGCCCTGTCCCCGCTACATATACTACACTACAGTCGGGGCTAGCCCTGTCCCCGCTACATATACTACACTACAGTCGGGGCTAACCCTGCCCTCGCTACAACACAGTCGGGACTAGCGGCCAGCCCTGTCCCCGCTACATATACTACACTACAGTCGGGGCTAACCCTGCCCTCGCTACAACACAGTCGGGGCTAGCCCTGTCCCCGCTACATATACTACACTACAGTCGGGGCTAACCCTGCCCTCGCTACAACACAGTCGGGACTAGCGGCCAGCCCTGTCCCCGCTACATATACTACACTACAGTCTGGGCTAGCCCTGCCCTCGCTACAACACAGTAGGGACTAGCGGCCAGCCCTGTCCCCGCTACATATACTACACTACAGTCAGGGCTAGCCCTGTCCCCGCTACATATACTACACTACGGTCGGGGCTAGCCCTGCCCTCGCTACAACACAGTCGGGGCTAGCGGCCAGCCCTGTTCCCGCTACATATACTGTACTAGACTACAGTGTGGGCTAGCCCTGCCCTCGCTACACGGTACACTATCGGGGGTAGCCCCGCTGCCACTACTCACACTTTTGCTTTCAAATATTGTGTTTATGATTTGAGATATACATTGGTTGGTCACTGTGTTACTTAAACATTTGGTGAAAAATTAGTCTTGAAGTTTTTGATGGTAAAGTTTTAGAGTAAAATATGTGTGACTTTGTAAAATATTTCTATATTCTACAAATACCGCAATCAATGATACAATAGTAACGAGATATTCAAACCCCTCCTATCTAATGATGTACATAACGATTTCACAAGATAAAAAATGTAGTTTTAGTTTCTACTCAATTTATTTCGGTTTCCGGTCGTGTGTCAGTTTGACGGCCTCGCTTCCGACTTAATTACTTTGTTTTAAACTTAAACTTCCCAGAACGGACAACTATCCAACGGTTTTAGGATATCCTGAAATTCTGGTTAGTAACCATAGCTATTACAACAAATAGCGACATTTCGTTAAATAAACGAATGGTAAAACTTAGCATTATATGGTTAAAACTTGATGTTTATGCCTTCCCTTTTAGCCCTTAACAATTTTAATAATAATCTATTTCAGGTATTAATTTCATTCAGCGTCAATGCGTGTCTTCTAATTAATCAATCATTTTATATTTTACTCGTTGCAAAAATGAATTTAAAGAGTATGACAAAGCTGTCGAGGTCACTGTTCAGTAAAAGGAAACTAAAAAGACATAACTGAATATTTAAAAGAATTAGGAGTCAGCAGGACCCCCGGCCATCTTGGATTTTCTGCCCATAACGGCAATGAATGAATGAAGCATATTACGGCATTGTTTATTCAGATAACATAAGTTGCAAAATATCTTATTTTAAAGCTATTTTAACCGCGTACTTGATTTGCTATCTACTTTTTAATTTTAATAGTTTTTATGTCGTAAATATATTGACTTAAACTGTGATTTTTTTCAACCTTTAAAACGAAAGTTCTAAAAATCCGAAAAGCAATTCACACGTAAAATGTATTTAAGACTCACATACCATTTACTGCTAGGTAATCAAGCTTACGGTGCATGATTAGTATGCTTCTACGTAAACGCATGTTTTTGGTGATCGGCGCTTGGACAACCACTGTTTAGCCTGGCATCCGACGGACAACAACAATGCAAAATTATTGACTCCTGCCGACTCAAGTGCTTAATAGTAGAGAAATGTATAATATATAGATCTACATAGGTTAACAGGTATCTTCATCACCTGGGAGAGGGTTTATACCCAGAGTGATCTCGCAATCTACTACAAGATCGGATATCTATTTAATGAGTTGTGCATCTCCAGTACCTGAGTGACCTGATTTAGGTTAATCTATTGCGTTCCTTCACATCAGGCTAGGTGTTAATTGATCAGATAGCTTGCGTAGTCAAGCTGATGCGGTCCCTTGCATGTCAATATCACTGATAGACTTGTACAGTAATTGACTCGTGCGTCAATTAACGAGTTGGTCACCTCCAATGTCGGTCACCTTGGTCGATTTACAATGTCTCTTTGCAAATGCATTCGTGTCAATTGCTTATATTGACCTGGAATTACCTGTAGCCAATGTTTTACAAGGTACTTGATAACAATGTAAACTTGGGCATAGCGTTGCAAGAAAACAGTAATAGTCTTAACTGTGCTGAAAGAACTGTTTTGAACAATTTGAGAACCCTCTTATGAAGACAAATGATAAATCTATTTATAATAAATGGCTACGCTGTTTTATGCGGATTACGCATAAAAAGTTTTGAACTGACCAACCCAAATAAAGCTAGCTTTATTTACTCACTTTATTTTACATGGCAAACCGCTATTTCATAATTAATAAGTGCTTGTTTACAAATTACATTAAGGGGATTTATATCAACTGTGAATAAAATTTAGGCCTTAATCACAGTATAAGACACGATGAAACGATTAATAAATAAACAACACTTTTTAAAATACCACATTTATAAACGCAATAAAATGTAGAAAATAATTAATAAATGTAGAGAATAAATTTTTGTAATATTTAAAACGAAATCGTGGGGAGCAATCGTGATTAGCAATAGCTAATCATCTTTACCTATTGAATTATTATTATTATCAATGACATGTGCCCCACATTTTTCGTTTTAAATCTGATAATAATCTATCCTCTCCACATATTTATTAATTATTTTATTCTTTTTAGTGCGTTAAAACACCTGGTATTTAAAAGTGTTTTTATTTATTAATTATTTTCTACTTTTAGTATTTTATGTGTTTGTTGTTAAATCTATTTTATATGGTCTATTAATACATAACCAACCCCTTTTTAACTGTAATCACATGTTGGTGCTACTATCTATATATGAATAGGCAAGCATGTTTATTTAAAACCTTTTTTCTCAGCTCGAGTGCATCGCAGGAAAAATCTACGTATACGGTTAGAAAGATATTTGCCTGTAGATGTGCAGAATCCCTTTATACATTAAAATAGGCTAAAAACAAGCACAAAAAAATAAATTAAAATTTTTTAAATATTTAACATGGGCCTTTTGGGTTGCCCCTTTTGGCCTGACGAAATAACAACGAAATATGAACAGAAAATCAAAACAAATGGAAGAAATTCCAATCATATGTTAGCGAATTTCACATATAGGGAATAATCTATTTTATTTACAGCGTAGGGTGAAAATAAACTTAAAGTGTAAATTAAAAAAGTGTAAGAAAGAGCCATGTGGGCCTAACTTTGCTCGGTAGGGTAAATATTTTTTTCATTTTAGCGAATTTCCCTATAGGGAAGTAGCTATTACCGTAGGTGGCATGGTAAGACCTAGACCCGGGACCGATTTACTTTTTCATTTTGATGTCCCCAGAGGCCAAAAACACCATTCGTTCAAATTTTTATATATGTATATATATATATATATATATATATATAGACTTATATATATATATATATATACGTCCGTGAACGCGATAACTTGAGTAATTTTTGTCCGATTTTGATGAAATTTGGTTTAAAGGTGTAAAGCGGGATAAACTTGAATGAGTTCGCGAACCAGCATGATTGGACCATGGGAACGGGGCTTTACGGGGGGTTTTATGGGGTAAAAATTGGTTTTTCTCACTTTTGACCCTCAAAACACAAAATTTCCCAATTTCTCTTTAGACCTTTTTAAAGAGCTTAAAAAAACAAATAATTTAGTATATAAAAGTATTTTTGTTTGATTATTAGTAACCAAGAAAATTAAAAAAAATTGTAAATTTAAAATTCCCATGTTATTCTTATGGAGAATATTGTCAAATGTTGTAGTTTGCTTGTTTATGGATATATTTTGATCAAACTTGGCAAATTTATTTTTTACTAAGCTATCAATATTTTACTCAAAAACACACTTTATTAGTTTCCTTGTAGCAGCAAACCTAGGTACTCGTTAAACCTAATGTTATTAAAATATATTTAACTGAAAATCAATTCAGACAAATGGAAATTCGCTTAGTCGGCAGGTTTGCTGCGGCGGGGGTATTTTATTTCAAAATAGAGAAGTCTAAGGTACATTATTTTTGGTCGAGTTTTTCGACCTCTGGACAATCTCTAGTCTATATTATTAAAATAATTTGTTGGATTGTTGTATGCAGCAAATTGACCATAAATACTGATTTTTACAGACATATTGGGTATCAATTTAAAGCTCTTATCCTCTAGACGTGCCTTTTGCGGGTTTGGATGATATCTCGTGAAAGCCCTTCGTCCTACAGGTTTTTACATTTCAGGGTTTGTGCTGAATTTTGTTGTCAATCATCTGAACTATTTCGAGTTTACATTTGTTTACATCAAAACAGATGGCCAAAATACAGTTTTGTTTACATCCATGAGAAAATGTGGTTATCTGTAGTTGGTGATGTTTAAGCGAATTCAAGTAAAATATTGTAATGCTATTTGTATAAAAAGTAAAGCAGAAAATTACTTACGTTGGATTTTGTGTTGTGATATGATTTTTTGTTTTCACAGTATGTCTTATTGATGTTATAGGGAATTTAAGTAAAAAATGTAATTGGTTTAAAATGTAAAGAAGAGATTTTCTGTTTTCATAGTATGTTTTATTAGCATTTGTTATATTACTAAGATGCTTCAAACAGATCGCGCACGCAATGAAAATAATAGGTCACACAGTGCAAATAATAGGGATATGATGAGAAATAATAGTTTTCACCCTTATCAACTATATATCAAATACATCACGAACTTTGAAGTCACGTGCTAGTTCTCATAATAAAAAAATAGAATATCTCGGGAGCAGAACCTGTACCTCTTAACCTGTTCTTTTAACAAACTGCCAAATTAAAGTATTTACAACTGACTTCAGTGACTTCAATTGATATATTTATTTACATTCTTCCAAAATGTAAACATTGAAACGTTGGAAGCCCAGGCGTAGCCCAACGGAAATATGAAAATAAACTGATTTAATATTGCATTGTCATCCACTTGTAAGCAATATTTCATGATTCAAGTCTCTAGCTCATTGGGAAGTTAGTTAAAAATCGATTGAAAAATTTGTAGCAAACGGACAAGAAAACGAGCTAATAAAAACGTTTTAATAAAAATACAAGAATGTTTAGAAAACACCTATATATCAACTTGACCAACTAGCATAAATTAGACACGTCCTCGTATTTTTAGGATGTTCACTTTATGAACTGAAAGTTATACGCAGCATCATGCTCAATGGTCAGCCAAACAGGAGCATTCAACTGACCAAGTGAAGTGGTAATCATAACCTGCACTCGACAACAGTTGTGTTTCTATTTGTGCAAGTAACGAAGTGTCGACGAAGCTGGTTAATAAACTCGGCCACTAGCTGTGACTTTCAAATCGTAAAAACCAAAGTACTTAACTAAATAACTCACTCAACTAGATGAAATGTACACGGAGAAAGTACTAGAGTTGAAACCTGAACACTTCCTAGCCCTTCTTGTTAGTAAGGAACTTTAATTGAAACTCACAGTATTCCGTATTCCCAACTCAAGAATCTAAATTACGTCTGATATTCAGTGTGGTTGAAAGTCCCGGAACGGTGTAATATATGTTTTACCAATAAAGAAAAAAATAATGAGACTTGGTATATAAATAATAGCCATAAATGTATACTCTTTTAAGCTATTATCACTTTTTTATCCCTTAAGGGGGACGTCCATGAGGAGTCAGACAAAATTCTTAAATATCAGCATAGGTCGAGTTTGGTATAAAATTAAAGGTCTCCGTTAGTAAAACACAATGCCACAAACCCAAACTCAAACGGACAATTGAGTAAAGAATTACTGCGCTGTTCAAATATTCCTTGAATTTGCAATGCTTATCATGAGTGTGGCCCGCTAGAAGTCGGAAGAAAATCATAAACGTAAAGCATAGGTCAATATGCACATCAGATTAGAGGTCTTTATTAGTAGAATACAATGCCGCAAATTTGAGTTCAGAATAACGTATGTGAAAAATGGCAGTCTTAAAAATTTAGATATAAAAAAATGGTAGATTAAAAAAATATGTGAACTGCTGGCTGCCATTTTTGACACGGTTGTCGGTTTGAGTTCGGGTTTGTGACAATGTATTTTACTAAATAAGACATTTAATTTGGTACCAAACTGGACCTATACTGATGAATTTTGTAAATCACTTAAGGGATAAAAAAGTGATAACAGCTTAAAAGATTAGACATTTATTTATGGCTATTATTGATATGCCAAGTCTCATTACTTTATCTACATTGGTGAAAAATATATTACACCGTTCCGGCACTTTTCAACCACTCTGTATAACAGATGAGGTTATTTAGAATTTTAAAACCATTTAAACGGTTAATTAAAAATTGTTATATGTCTATTTTAATTACTGAAGTCAATAGGTGAAAGCGAAATGTGGTTAATACATAGGCGTAATAATTTTGAAGATAAGTGAACCGACTACTTATAGATACAGTAACATAGAGTTTATGGTTTTAAGTGCATTGTACTCACGCTCCCAGCACGGTGTAGAACTCTAATGTGAAGTGATAGTAGCAGATCTTGGGAGGTTCACCCTCTCTGCAGGCCCTGGCACACTCCTCAGGCGACGACAACAGAGGGTTGTTCCTCAGCTCGTTGAGTCCCCGGGTGTCAAAGTCCAAGGACGAGGCTGGGATGTACGGCCTAGTGGCAGGGTCCTCAGCAGCCACGCCGAACCCGGCGGGGTGGGTCTGCACCAGCCCATGTGAGGAGGAGAACAGACTAGGGTCCTGGTCCGCGGGGGTGAAGCCCGGGGCAGGCGCGGGGGCGGCAATGTCCTGGTACCATGTCTGGGCAGACGTCGACTGGTCGTTTCTGGGGGATGCTGAATCTGAAACAACAAAGATCAGTTAGTGAATATGCTGCTTTAGTGACACCTCTAATAGTATTAGGGTGTTATTTTACTATTGATTGTCTTGGGGGCTAAAACAAACATTAATATGATGTGTCTAAGTCTGTCGTATACAAAATCTGGATTACTTCAACAACGGCTTATTTTACATCATAACATTGGTTAGGTGGGATATTTTTTTAATGAGTATCTATAAACAACATTATGTCTGAATAACTTCAATGTGGACATGATTCTAAATTATATGTAATAGATTGCCTTTAAATCAAGTGAATTATTCCCTGTGTTACCGTTAAACTTATTGTTTTCTGGTATATTTCAATACAATTTAGAAATTCATTGTATATTTAAACGATACGTTTTTAAAGTTAACCTACATGAATACGGACTTACGTTTATAATATACAAGTACTGTATAACAAATAAGGTAGGACCCGATAAGAACTAGATTATAAAATAATTATAGAATCCTTCAATCTGAAAGTTGGCTGAGTGCATTTGTATTTCCTTCGGGTCGCCGGAATTCTATCCCCGGAAATTTATCCTCATGATAAACCACCTACGTCATTTTGACGTCAAAGGTCTGGGGGTAGATTTCCGGGGGTAGGTTTCCGGGGGTAAAATTCCGTGGTATGGCAAATCATTTTATAAGCAAACAATTACATATTGATTATTTAATAATATATTGGGGGTAAATTTCCAGTCGCGGGCCGTTTCTCTACCGTGTATAGCCCCTCGTGACGTCAAAATGATGTAGTAGGCGTTTTTCATGGGGGTAAATTTCCGGGGGTAGATTTCCACTTCCAGTTTCCTTCGACCTTATTAATCGAATTAGATGTCACGATCCATACGCTCGACTTCAGCAACTCCGACCATTTAAGTCTCTCTGGTTGGATTGACGAAAAGTGAAAGTGTTGAGATCTGTCGATAGCCAACTAAGTAAGTTAAAACGAATTAACTGCTGTGGTCAGTAAACGATTGTGAGATACTCCTGTATGTATGTGTGTTGGTGTGTGTGTGTGTGTGTGTGTGTGTGTGTGTGTGTGTGTGTGTGTGTGTGTGTGTTGGTGTGTGTGAGACAAGTCACGTGATGGAGATTGTTACTGTCAAGTTATGTTTTATAGAGCGTGTCCTCCTACAACGACCACGCCTGAGCTTGAGAAACGTGCGTTCTGCAATCTACAATGTAGGAAAAGGGTAACGGCAGAAGAAGGAGAGTAACGTTTAAGTGTCGACCAAATATACATAGATTGTGGCTACATCTATTTAAACAAGTTATTTTTCAAGTTTGTAAAAGAGAAAAAAACGAAACAACTAACTGTACAGTTTTAACCTAACCAATGTTTGGTATCAAAAGTTCTTGTGGTGTTTTAAGGTATATTTTATAGATTCCGAGAATTTTCAAAGTATATTTAATGAGCAAAACTTATCAGCATACTTCATTAATGACGTTTGTTCTAAAAAAAAAAAACAACCAACTAAGCAACTGTTTAGACACTGTCCTTTCTCTTGTTTCGACAATGCAGACATTCCACGGTTCACGTCAACCGTCAATACACCTGTGCTGGTAAAAGGACTATCAAGTGATGGAGGCTTATAATAGAGTAGTTGCCTAAACTGGACAATGGACGAGTTCAGGTGCTCTGATAGAGATATTAGGCGGGAAAATCAATTATCACATCAAGGTCGTCACGGCCACGCCCGCCTTGATAATGTTTTTTATCAGCATTTTTTTGTGTTGTTTGTATTGTAGCCTGGTGAAAAATGTATGACACTTAGGCATCTGCAGTCCTATTAAAAAGTCTTTCTATTTTCAAGTAATCTGCTTGAATTTAGTACAAATCTATTGGTTAAAAACTAGTTGAATGTAATAAATAATATTGAAATCATAAAACAATCAATACGGTATCTCATAAAAATGAAAACGAATATGCGAAACAAAACAAATAAACGATGAATATTTCATCGAATGAAATTAAAGGATTTATAATTAATAAAATTAAAGACTTCTTGATAACTTTTTTAATGAGCAGTTCATGTTGTGTAATCTATACAATAGAGACTTTTTTATAATTTGTTATATTTATAATTTACATAAGTGAATAAGTTATATTTGCTTGATAAAATACTACTATTCATGCTATGCAACGAAAAAACCAAGAATAAAAATTGAAATAAGCGAAAAAGTAAAAAAAGAAAGTTCTAGAAAAAGAAAAAAAGAAAGTTGGGTAGTATTATCATGTTTACTTTCGGACCAGGCCAGTGAAATAATTTGTTTATGTTTTTGATCCATACAGTTTCTGTTATAATATTCACTGCTAGTACTTACAGCATTAAAGAAACGGCTTAATCTCGGATACACGAATAGTCTGGTGTGACTGTGAACTGAATGTTTGCTGATTGTAGATCCAGTTCCAGTTCCCACACGCATTGCAGGAGGCGCGGCTTTGGAGACAGTAGAGTATTGTAAGTTGCCCAAGAGAGAATTCTCAGATTTGCATAGCCATTCGCACAATTGCCAAACACCGACCAGTATATAATAAACCTTACACAACACGAGGCTGGGGTGTTTTGTGTTCAATTACAGTGGTCTTGTCTCATTTACGTTGAATGCGCCGTTATCTCTTTCTCAGCGTGTGTGGTGTATGAGAGGCGAGACGGACCTGACATTTCGAGAGATGACACTCTTTGAACTGGGAAAAATAGTGAATAGCTTTCTAATGCGTCTCAGGAATCCATCTTTGGTGCAAGATACCGCTTTACTTCAGTCGCCCCGAAAATATATTACTGTATCTTTACAACCTTTGACGCGTTTGCATAAATTTGCATCCAACAACCATAAGCTCGTCTACAGTTAGCTCTAGAGTACAGTATTCTATTAGAGTATCAAGCTACAGAGTTGGAGTAAATAGTGTGCATAAAATATATACAGTACTCCAAATATACAACAATGAAACTTGATTTTGCCTAAATCAATCAACTAATAACTAAAACTAGTGGTCGTAAACTCGACCAAAAATATGTAATGTACACGCATTGACTATTGGATACTGAAGTAGACAATAGCTAACCCATCTATATGGACCAGCTGTCGTCATTTTTTATTACAAAAATTTGTAATTGTGTGAGTCATACAGAATGCGTGTCTAAAATTCTAATTTCTACCTTATCTTTGTTGCTGACAAAGTGGATGGGTCATAAGAGTTGCTATAGCTGAAAATAAGTCATTCCAAAAGTTGACTTGGTAAATAACATAGTTTATCCGACATAAATTTGTAATTTAGATCAGCGCAATCTGTTGGTGGCTCACATCAACTACGACGAATTTAATTTAAAAACTAATGACAACTTTGACATGGAGATGGAATGTCTAGTTATAAGTCAAAAAAAGGTACAGGCTTCTCTATTTTCACCCCAAGCTGTAAATAAAACATGCGATTGGAATTTCTTCCATTTGTTTTGATTTTATGTTTATATTTCGTTGTTATTTTGTCACCAGCATGGCAACCCATAAAGCCTATGTTAATTTTCTTTTATATTTCAAATTCATTTTTTGTGCTTATATTTGAGCCTATTTTAATTTTTAAAGGGATTCTGCACATTTACAGAAAAAAAAATGTCTTTCTAACAGTATGCGTAGATTATCATTGCGATGCACACGAGCTAAGAAAAAAGGTTTTAAAGAAACATGCTTGCCCATTAATATATAGATATATATTTGGTGATGTTCAAACTTCATGCATCTTGGTGTCGGATCTGAATTAAATCACAATATTTGTTATATCTACACGTATTAATAATAAACTAGTGCACCTGTTGCTCGAATTCGAGCAATTGCTAAGTATTCCAGGCGTTATTTCAAAACGAATTAACAGTCAACATTTCCGATGACTTAAAAGAGTCAACTCAAAGATAATGTAATCTATCACTCGACTCCTGTTATCGAAACTGAAAATGAACTCACTCTGAAAATGAACTCTCTTATGTGTATCATGCGTTTACTATAAACAGCTGTTTTAGTATGCAATTAATACAAATTATTCGTCTTTTTAAGTAAAAAAATCTTTTCTTCATAAGGGATACATTGGGATTTTGATAGCCTGTGGGGCAAAGCCCGAGGACTTTTATTACAGGAATTGGTGAAAGGGGGCGTCTACACAACAAATTCTTAATTTTGACACCTCGTTTGTAAAAATCCGTCAATTATTAACGGAGGAGTAGTGTTTCGTAGAAATCGCCTTCACGTATTATTATAAGGATAACAAGACCACTAACCTATTAGTCAATGTCTTGGTAAACATCAGTTCAATACTAACCACACACTCTATATAGTGTGTATACTCTGACTGATAATAACTGTGGTTTCCTCATAGAGATTTGTATATTCTTTATGCTCTTCTCCAATTACTCTGGGAAAGTCCTTGGACCGTTTCCCACACAGCCTCAGTCCGGAGGAATTTCTCCACATCCCGTGGATGTACGAGTGGTTGAAGGTCTCGTGTACGAAACTCGTTGATTAGATGTTGCGAATACTGACCATCCGTTCATTACCAGTGAGGAAGTAAGCTAATTTTGGTAGATATTGAAACTGGATTAGGATCATAGCAGGCGAATAGTCTCAGTAGCGTAGTTTTGAATCATACATGTACGGTGTTTCGCAGTCGTTCTGTTCACAAATCGGTTGTCTCATGTGCCAATCTGATACGCAGCTATTGTCTTCTGACGAGACAACTTCATCTTTGACTACGTAATTTGCTGTCATTATGATTCTATGGGGCACGATCTGATTGATATATAGCTCATTGCTCTTGACAACTTTTGCCGACGCTAATGCAAATCTTGATATTTGATAGTAAGTAGGATAGTTAAATTAGCAAATGTGCAAATGAGCAATTGAACAATTGAATAGTTCAAACAAACTAGATAGGCCACAGAAATTGTACCAATCTTACTCCCACCCATGATAAGGGTTGTTGACA